TTGAATAGAATTGTCACCGATTACTGGTATTTATAATAATTACCCCCTCACTCATGTCGCCAATTGACGCCTTGAAACGGAGCATAATGGCGTTTTATTGAATCAGCATGTCTGTGTCCTCCATGCTGGCTGCCTCGCACAAATCCTCCCACCAGTATAAATAGAATAAAAGAGGACCCTTTATCTGCGAGTCGGCACCGTGTGTGTGTGTGGGTGTGTGTGTGCGTGTGCGTGCGTCAGCGTTTGCGCAAGAGGCTGAAAACACAGCAACTTGATCGCTGCGATTGACAGCAAAGTGATGTGATCCCTTCCAATACGCTAACTTTGGGCAAGGTTTGCCTTGCACTCTGTTTTGATCCAATGTGCGGGAAGTTAGGTTAGCGTTTCCCCAAAGGCGCACATTCGGTAGCACCCCCTGGGAAGTTCTCAACCCAGCTGTTTGTCGAGGGCACTTGAAAACAGCCACCGCGGTATACAAAGTGGAGCAAAAAGAATTCGTATGAAACAAGAACTGAACCACGAAGACAGTAGAAAGCACAAAAACAGTCCAACTCCAAATCAAGTCTCGTGCAGAGTCAAAAGCCAAAGAAGAAAAATAAGTTGGAAGACGAGTGTGAAAGATTTGGAGGGAAAGGCAAGGGAAAAGGCTCGAACCCCTCGGAGGCTCCGCTTCGTTCCCGGTACCTCCAATCGCTTCTGCTGCGCAGACCTGAGGCACCGGGCGGGTGCGCAGCATTTCCACAATAACTTGCAGTTTTTGTCCATTTTAAACCACATCGTTTTTCATTTTATTTGTAAACGTGTCTCACCCCTGCAGTTTTATGAGCATAATAATTCACCGATGTGGCGGTTCTTGGATGAAGCTCGGTTTAAAAAACAAACAAACAGAAAAAAACCCACCCTCAAGTGTCGATTGGCAAAGAGGAGAGTAATAGTCAGACAACGTGGTCCCCTCGCTGCATTTATCCCGCCACACTTAGCGAAATCTGAAAGCCTCCATAAATAACGGCGCTCCCGTTTCCCGAAGGTTATCAGTGCGGGAAAATTAGCTTTTAAAATGCAGTTTGAAATCCATTTAGGTGATTGATTGGCGAGCGCGCTAATAAATTCTGCCGGTATCCGGGCGGGCCTCGTCACGGCCATTTTTTATCGCTGTCATGACGCCAGACGTGTTGGATGTTTCAACGAAGGAAGGGAGGTCTGCGGCTTTCCAAACACGCTGATGTGGATGGAGTGTTTGGCGCGCTCTGTTAGGGCCTTCCTTAACGCAACCTGTTTAGGCTGCGCGTGCATTCAAAAAACAATTTTGTGGACAGGCACCCGTCGTTTGCATTTCCCTCTTAACGCTGTGGGAGCGGCGACAGCGATTGCTGCGTTGTTGCCTCAGACTGCAAACGTTTGGCGCTTGTCATCAATCGGCAAGACGAGAACTCAACATCTCAGCCACGAGTCTTCTCCATTTCACCCCCTCACAAGTGCAGCGCTTCAGTGGAACGTTGTATGACGTACATTCAGGCGCTCGAGATGCATGTTTGTCAAGCTTCCTTTTTTCAAAAAAAAAAAAAAAAGATGTTAATCGAATGATCTGCTAGCAGACAGTGTCAATACAAAGAGCAAAAGAGTCGCCGGTGAGCTTGCAGACAGGGTGGAGAGTGACAGGGTGGACATTTAGGGCATCAGATGAGTGCAACGGACCTTCGCTGAGCGACACGATTCAGTTGGCCAGCTGACTGCGATTTCGATTTTCCATGACAGGGTGGACATGAAATGAGTACAACGGGACCTTCATTTAGCAAAATATCTCAGCTGGCAAGGTGACTACGGACTGCCTTTCGATTTTCTGAGACTGTTTTTAGATCAGTGGATGTTTTACTATGACAGGGTGGACATTTCGGACATTCCGCAATGGACCTTCCCTCAACGACATGATCCAGTTGGCAAGCGGATTGTTGACCAAACTCATTTTGGATTTCTGAAGGATTTTACAGTTTGACTGTGACAGGGTGGACACGTGTAGCTTGACAACATCCAGCTCAAATTTTATTTTGCAAATATCCTTTTTTTCCAGTCTGCTTTGGAGACATACACACTGTTGGTGATAGTGTCACTGAAAACATTTTTGTTTTGGTTTGTTTTGTTTTTTTGAAGAGGCAGTATGCCCATAATGACAGGGTGGACAGCAATTTCATGGATGTATTCAAATGTGACGAAAAAAATACACTGGCTGAAAATTGGCTCATTTCCTCACGTAAAATGTGATTGATTTGCAAGCAAATACGAATTCTCAACGTCATCGCTTGTCGTGAAGGCAAAGTCGACAAATGAACCACCTGCACTAAACCTGATACAAGTGCTTTCAATGTGCTTGGTTGGATCTTCAAAGTGGAAGCTTTTTATCCCCCCCCAGCCTCCTCCACTGCCTACTTTGCACCCCCGAATTAGGCGAAGCTAATCTTTGGCCTGGAAAAATGTGTGGATTTCTTTTTTCAGCGAGGCGTAATCCGGCATTTACAATATCATTTACGTGGCTTTCTTCTTTTTTTTTTCCGCCCACTGACATCTCGCTCTCTTTTCCGCCTCCTTTTTTAAACGCTCAGATTGACAGAGGACAAGCTCCAGGCATTGGCTTTGCCTCGACGACAGCGGCGCGCAACCTCTGCGCACGCAGATGCTGCCTTTTGATTGATATTTAACTGAAAGTGAGCTCTTGTTGCTGTCAAACCTCAGCTAAGTCTCTTGAGCCGCTTCATTTCTGACACTCGCGCTATTCACACAAAGGACTCCGTGTGTGTGTGTGTGTGTGTGTGTGTGTGTGTGTGTGTGTGTGTGTGTGTGTGTGTGTGTGTGTGTGTGTGTGTGAGACGTTGTCATGTGATCCGTGTAACACTTTAATCTGTTTAGACTCCGTCAATACGCTGGCGCGAGCCATACGTGCGTTGACGTCGACGGCCGCCTGCCAAGATCTCGCTGGAGTAACGCGGGGCCTTTTGTACCTTCGGTATGTTGTAGGTAATCTGATGCTTCAAACATCAATGTAATAAAGCAGCGTTTGAAGTAGGGGTGGCCAAAATGTTGCCCTGCACATCTCCCCGTGTTTACCGTCAAGCTTTTACTGTCAAGCGTCTTGTAATATTTGTTGCCTTGATCTAGCCATTTTTTACAAACATTTTTCGGTACTCTGACCTGAAATTGGCGACCTAAATTGTATTCATGATTTGAATTCATCGACTGCTTAATTGATTCAAGGCACACAGCAAATTAAACAAACCATGACCTGCTTGATTGTGAATCTACGCAGACATGATGGAAAAACACATTTTTAAGCTCTCCAGGTTAAAGCTAAACAAGAAAAGAAAGTGTTGTTTTCACAGAGGATAAAGAATATAGGCCTGTTAGTATTGTCATCTTGTCTGTCTATATGTGTGACCGCAAAGTTTTGTGTTCAAATAACTCCGGCTTCAGGTGTTATAACTACCACAGCGTCACTGCTAGCTTTGTTAGCCTATGTATGGCATTTTGCATTGTGTGTTAGCATTTTGCTAACAAGTTTCTGTAAGGCAAAGTATTATTCGTCTGTACGTGGTGCGACGGCTGTGTCATCCAAATGCCATAGAGTCGACTGCGCAATTATCGAGTGGCCACATATGAACAATTCCGTGAATAACAAACCACTTTCCCGCTCAAGGGCAAATGAAGGCAACACCGCATTCTCCCGCATTACCTCCAACGAGGTCGTAAAAACACCAACCCAAAAATCTGCAGCTGACGCGCGTGAACAAGCGTCACTTAGTCACCCCTTGCCGGTGCCGGCGCTTAATGGGCTGCATTAGGGGCCTGCAATAAAGCCACGCCGGCCAGGTCTTGGCTAATGTCGCAATAATCATTTACAAAAAGATGGTTACCACATGCTGGAATAATTTTCAGCACCCCAACCCGCTCCCGCTTTTAACAACACTAATTCGCCATTATTAATAATGAATAAAAATGCAATTTTCAGTGGGCTCGCTCCAGGGCTCTGGGAATCATTACGATGAATATTTCAGCACGTTATTTTAATCACCGCCGCACATTTGCGGGGGTGGAGGGAGCCCAAGGCAGGGATGGGTTGGGTGGGGGATGGGGGGGGTTACTTTAACAGACTCGTGCATCAAGCGCCCCCCCCCCCCCGCCCCCCGGGTCATTAGAGCCCGTGCTGCCTGCCTGTGTGAGATGCCTACCTTTTGATTTACAAGACTTGTTTAAAAAACAGACACACAAAAAAAAACCAAGGCGAGCTGCGCCATTTTGACTTGTAATTTGATGCCGGATTTGGTAATGAAGCGCCGCCGTGTGATTTATGGACCCCGCGGTGGCAGTTTCTGGCACTAAAGCTGCTCCCTGCTGTTCTCGCAAGCGTTGCCGTCTCTTCTTACCACGGATGCTCGCGACGCTTACACTTCTGGATGCACAATGGCCAATTTCCACTGCGTCGCATCGACTTGGCTCGTCAATACTTGGCTTCGAGGAAAAAAAATTTGAGGTCGGGTCATTCAAGAAAATATTTGAAGTTTTGCTCATGTGAAAATGGGCTTCCCCGCAGTGTCAACGAAAAAATAAGCGCCGACTGTCCTTGGTCTTGCCCCCCAACTTCAAGATTGAAGGAAAAATTGACTCAGCAAGGAAATGCCCTTATTCTCATTTTGGATAACAGCCGTCTCCTTAATGTGCCCAACAGAAGTAGACGCCCTCGGTCTGCTATTGGATAAAATGTGTCTTCTGTCTGTCCTTCTATCCTCTTGCATGTCATTTGCATATCTTAATTTGCAGTAGATGCCCTCAGTCTCCTCTTGGATATAACCGCATCTTCTGACTAGTGGCTAGTTCATAAATTCCTTCTGTCTACTCTTGACTAAAATGTGTCTTCTTCAAAATCTCCTTTCACCGCACTTTGTGTTGGCGTCGCGTGCGCTGGAAGAACGTTGCTTTAACGAACGCCGCCTGCTTCTGTGCTCCCTTGCCAGGCCGCCTCCCGACTTCTGGCGTCTGGACTACTGGGAGGACGACCTGCGGCGGAGGCGGCGATTCGTCAGGAACCCGCTGGGCACTGTGCACTTGGAGGTGTCGTGCAAAACTCTGCAGGAGTACGGTGTGTGTATACACACACACACACACACACACACACACACACGCGCGCGCAATCTTCTCCAAATGTTGATCATTAGCGGACGCGTCTGGCGCTCGCATCTTTTTGAATATGTCGCGTACTTACGAGCGCTGCCAATGGAACGTGACATGTGAGTTTCATTGGGGTTTTTATCCCCGTCAAAACATGTCCTTAGAGGCGGGGGGAAAAAAAAAAATCAGACGGCTCCTTGCTTCGTCCTCCCCACTTGGCCCTTGGGTCAATTTTACTTGTCAGGAAGGCAATGCTGACTTTTCCGCAAAAGCGCTGCTGGTTTGCAGCCCTGCTGGCCTCCTGATTGAACTGGCCGTACTTAAAAACGTAATTTGCTTCGACTTCGGAAAGAAAAAATAAATTGAAATATTTTCCCCTTTTTCGGATGTGTTAACCACCAAACCTTGAACTGAATCTTAGTCCATTTCTGTTTGTGCATTTTCTTCTGCACGGTCCATTTGAAATCGTGTCATGTTTTGGAATAAACAGATGGAAATATATATATAAATATATATATATTTTTTAATTACATTCATCAATTTATCAATAAAAGCAGTGATCTTGAGAAGACCGTTGGCCAAGTTCAGGACGTCATGTGGTCGCTTTGGGTTCCAACGCGAACATATGGCAGCTGCCGCTTCAGCCGCAGGTGGTCCGTGCAAGCAATCGTTGTGCCGTCTGCTCTTAATTTTCTGCGTGCGTGTGTTTTGGAGGCGGCGCGGGCTTGATCGCCGTCATTGGCTAATTTCGTGCGCTCTCCGCGACGCGTTGACATCTTGTCAGGCAAAGAAAGCTCCGATGTCATCCGCCGAGGACAAGTTTTCTTGCCAGTCGATTGAGACGATTGCCGACTCAGCGACTCCGAAACGCGGAGCGCTGACCCGTGCCGAGGCTTTCGCATTTGTCACCTGCAACCAAGTCTGCGTTTAATCTGGGATCTCACGTCACGCTTCACACAGATTCTCAACATGACGGCGCGCGTAGGTCGCCGTGCGGCGCTTTCTCCAGCAAATTTGGTAGACACGCCTCTCATGATAGGATGCACAAAAAAGTCTGAATGACCCATACAGGAAATTGAATGCGACGTCGGCCATTTTGGGGCGGATGCCAGCGATCGTACTTTGACAATCTCCTTCCAAGCATCCGAGGCAGACGTGGGTGATATTTTTTTATTTCTCTTCCTCTTTGCTTCGTCATGTGTTCAAAGCACGGCATCAACGTTGGATGCTCATTTTCAGGATTCACCTTTTGAAAGGGGCTTTCGTTCGTCGCCGCTCACAGCTTCGCTTCTCTCTTCTCTCGCGCTCACACGACAGTCACTTGGCGACGTTTCCTTTGTGGCGTCGAAGGTATTTTGTCGGAAGGTGGCCGAGGTTCAGAGGTGAGCGCGCCATCTCCCGACTCCCGTTACATCCAGACTTGACGGGCTCTCCGTCAAACATTTTAGTGGGCTGCAGCTAGCACGGGCAGCCGGAACAAAGCGCCGCGTTTGAGCCCCCCCCCCCCCTACCCCCCGAGACTCGTCGTTAAAGCGTTCCGATCTGGGACTAATGGAGAAACGGTAGGTTGTCCAAAAAGAATGCAGACTTTTTTTTCTGCTATGACAGCAGCATATGACAAGACAGGCTTCAGCCGCCATCTTTTGCCGTTTGAAGAAGGGCAGACGGGCGGCGGCGGCGGCGCTCGCGGCACGCGTCACTCTTCCCCCGCTCGCTTGAAGGAATAAAAGTGATGTGGACGGATTATTTTTTTCTTTCTTTCTTTTTTATTTTGTTTCCCCTCACAAAGAACGCTCTGCCGAGTGAGTGGCCCGTGTCTGTTTTGACGCAGCCTCACCGTCGCCTTTGTTTTCTCCGCAACATTCAGAGCTCGCCGCCTCCCTTTATTTATTTGTTGTGCGCGCTCAAAGGAGTTATTTCGAGATTGTGTTCGGCTTTGTGCCTTCTTTCAAGCTGCCACTGAGCACTTTGTTAGACGCGCATATCAGAGTCGGGCACTTTTTAGGGCGTCATTTGGAGCTTTGTTTTGGCTGACACGATACGAATTTGATCGGAAATTGCACAGATACGAGTGGCGTGTTTCCGCCGTCTGTTACGATAGTCGTATGTAGTCGTTTTTACCAAATTCCATCTCAGTCAGTCAGTCAACCCGGTCCGGGGATCATTTTGTTCGAACCTCCAAGGGGGCTGCTGCTGAGTCAGTTTTTGCTTGTTTACACTTTACATCAAGTTTAGGCAATTTAAATGCTGCAGGAGGGGTGCGGGGGACCATTTTTCATCTCTGCAACTGCGTGGATAAAATATCCACTGTACCTAAGCAAAAAAAAAAAAACATTTCAAACAAAAAAACAAACCAGCACCGGGAGTGCTCAGGGCTCTCTTGCATAAATATGACCATTCAAGGATAGCATAAAACTGCTTAACACCAAACCAGCATGAAGTACATGAACTCATTTTGTGCTCCCCCCACACAGAAATCAACTCACTCAAAATCGGAATACTATCATTCCAAAGCCGCAAAAAAATCAATAGGCCTACTCGTGCTGTAGTATAGATTTGCAAATCCCCTGAATTTTTTTTTTTTTTTTTTACTGGATTTAATTAATTAATATATATATATATATATATATATATATATATATATAATCCACGTCCAAGAGGGCCATAGCAGCGAGATGTTTGAGCAAAAAAAAAATCATAATAATAAAAAGTGTCTTTAGCATCAGCGCAATAGCATAACCTTTGTCATCACTCCTTGTGCACGCACGCGCAATTTGGCGCGACACTCCGTCTCATTGTCTATGAGCCGCATTGGCAGCTTAGCCAGCACATTCGCTGTCACTGCCCCGTCGCGGCTGAGGGCCCGCCATTGGGGGTATATTGGGGGCTGATTGGAAGCGGGCAAGCGTGAAATGGAAGTCACGTTAATATTGATCCCAGTGTTTAACGGGGTGTTTTACCTCTGGGCGTCCTTGCGGTCTGCAATCAGGTGAGAAGCTCCTTCTTCTGCTTGCTTGGCTCTGATTGCTACAGACGCAAAGATTGTTCTCGGCAGCGCAGTGCGACTAACCTGACCCGGGCTCCAGTCAGGCGGAAGGTGAACTGCCTGATTCCAACATACAACAGGAAATGTACTTTCGAATGTCCGGACGCAAATTGTCATGATTCTATGAGTCACGTTCCAGGTTTGAAGCTCACAAGGGCCACATACGCAAGCGTATGATTATTCTGCGCCCCATCCCTTTGATGACGCAAGTGTGGGATTGTTTGGCCTCACGTCACCTAATTTGCCACGCGCACCTTTAATTAATCCGCCACACCTAGCCTTGACATGCCGCAGAGAGCTGACGACAGGCCCGCAATTATTAAGGTTTAATTCCAGTCTGGGGATACCCGCTTTCATGCATTTGTCATGATCCAAATTTTGCCACTTGGGAGTCCCCCCCCACCCCCACCCCC